CCGACGCCGCCCTCCGCCTTACCCGCTGCCCCGACGGAAGCGCCGCTTGGGCACCCCCACTCTCCAAACCACCGCTTTCCACAGAGAGCAGGCACCCGGGGACCTCGGCTCAGAGCGAGTGCTTCTGCGCACTCTGCGTATGTTCAGGAGCGCTGGACCTGTTGCGGGCCTGAGTTTGGAGCAGCTGAGAGAAACGAGGTCGGTGGGTCGCAAGAGGGAGCCTCCCCGGGAGGGACTCTCTAAGCCCGACCCTGAAAAGGAGAGAATCCAGCTCCTGCGGTCCCACCACCACACACCCTCCCGGAGTCCCACAAAGAGCAATAGAATGGTGGGCCCCACCCCTACCCCGCTGGACGCTTGGGAAGATGGCCAGTGCCCAGGAATCAACACAAACCGTTGTGGTGCAGCCACCTTATGCCATCTGCAGGTACAGCAAAGCCATTTCATTGGGGGGGGCAGGGATGTCGCCACTGACCCCAAACCTGGTGTGTTGCAGAGCAGGGTGCCCCAGACCCTCCCCAGAAGGACAGACTGGCCTTCCCCCTTAGGTCACTTGCTCCGAGAAAAGAGGAAGCCGCAGGATGTACCCTAAGATGACAGTGCAGCAGGCCAGAAGCCACTGTGCCAGACCAGCAGCTTCCTAGGCTATAATGAACTCAGAGGAAACCCAGCTTTCCTTGGCATGAAAGCTCCAAACCTTTATGCCAAGGGCACCTGGGGTAGTGAGAGACACACCTAGTCTCACCCTGGAACACCTGGCTCAGAGCAGAAGGTTGAGAATCTAGAGGTATGACTTGAAGACCCCTGGTAGGAGGTGGGCTGAGACCCAGACCCAGTTGCCTGTTTAATAACCACCTTTGTGGGTTTTGCACTATCCTGGATGCGCTTGATCTTGGTCGGGCCAGCTCTAGTTAGTACCACAACGGAAGGCCCTTGAAAGAACTGTCCTTGGATGCACTCCTGGGGAGGGTCCATGGCTTTGCTGGCAGAAGGTCCTAAGCCCAATTACAGCACTTCCCCCAGGTAGGGGGTAGAAAGGAACAGGTGGGAAGGACCGAAGGTCTGACCCAGTCAAAGGCAGTTTCCAGTGCTGCTACAGAATAGCTGTACTGGTGGCAAATAAGTGGATAGGCACAGGATAGGCAAGGCAGGTGCACCCTGGCAGTTTCCAGTGCTGCTACAGAATAGCTGTACCGGTGGCAAATAAGTGGATAGGCACAGGATTGCGTGCAAGGCAGGTGCACCCTGGCATGGAAATAGAGGCCAAAATCCTGTTGCTTAGTTATGCCTGCAGAATGCAAACGGTATGACTTACTGCAGCTTCTTACCAACAATGAATGAGTCCCCCCTCCATCTTGGTTTTCAGGGGTGAACCCTGAAAAAGAATATCAGACTAGGGCTCACCTGAGTTTAAATCCCCTCTTCTCCAAGGACTCTCACCAGGGAGTAGCACCAGTTAAAAAACACACCATATCTCAGGTACCTTGAAAACCTTGCTAGGGTCTCCCTATGAATGCCATTATTCCAACTTGGCAGCACCTGGCAGATATAGTGGACGGTGTGCTGCACTTACAGTTTGAGACTGGCATTCTTTTGTCATCTAGAGTTACCGGTAATTTAGTTCTGCAGTTCTAAGATGATTCTGCTCTGCTTCACGGGCGGGCGGGGGGTCTCAAAATCCACTGAAATGCACTTGAAGGGTCCTTAAAAATTTGGTGAGAATTTTAAACTCCCTAATGCACCAATGAATTAGCGCACCAGGTGAGGAAAGCTGGAGTTCTCTCACAGAGAAGTGCTTTTGGCCACTGCCTCTTGCACAACCCCCCCCAAGGCTTGCAATCCAGGGATCTTCCCTGACAGCTGTGGAGAAAAGGAACATTGAAGGAATCACGGAGCAGCCTCGATGTTTCCTACTGGTGCTCTGCTTTAGCTTCTGTCCTCTCTGGGCCCATGCAGATTGGCATGCACTGGGGAGCACAAGGGGTCACTAGCCAGGATTCTACTACTGTATGTAGAAAACTCTACAGATCATATTGGGGGAGGGGGTTTAATGCCAGAGACATTCTGCTTCTGGTCTTCTGGCCTGCCATGGGAGGGGGGGAAGTCACTTGAACACGAGACTCATCAGTTTTACAACTTGAGAGGTAAATCACGAAGATAAGCTGCAAAGCAGATGTTTGCATCAGATAATGATGTTTATCATGTATTAAATGCATCATTTACCATCAGGATATAACAGGTTTTTTGCCAACAACTGTCTTATGCCCAGTGTTATAATGTCACCACTTTTATACCCAGTTTCACCCTCATCCTATCCCCAACCAATCATGCACACTGGGCATAAACCCTGCACTTCCAGGGTTAAGCTCCATGCTTCCAAAGGAGCAGGCTGCAAGCCACAAATGCCCAAATATAGCTGCTGCCATAAAGCAGTTTTAAAGGTGCCCCCCTCGTCCTTGTTTTGATGCCACAGAGACTAACTCCCGGCAAGACTTTTACAAGAGCAAGAAAAGGACTCAGAAGGAGCTGGAGGAGAGGAGAGAGGAAGGAGAAGGGAGCGATGAGGAAGACGGAGGCCAGAGATAAGCAGTCACTGTGACAGGGTGACTGGCCCCACAGCCAGGACAGGAAAGCAGCAAGGAACAGATAATTCCACAGAGGCCATGGCCCTGACATGGCCAGGGTCCTCTTTCCATGGGACAGCACGGCAAAGAGGCTTTCGAGAGACTTTCCAGGCCAGGGGAGTTCGACAGTCCAACGTCTATTGACAAAAAGGCATCAGCAGAGGAGGAAGAGATTGGTGGCTCAGCAAAAGGGGGCACCAAGGGCGGCAGACAGAGCACAGGTACACACAAGCACAGCATGTTCCTGACACAGGTCCCCCAAACTGGGTTGCAGCTGGACTAGGGCACTACCCTTCACAGTCCAAGCCAGCGTGCTCCATGGAGGGGGACCGGCATGGACTCCCGACCCCTCCCTGTAGCTAACGGGACAGAAAGACATCAACAGTTAGAATTTCTACTATTTAAGAATACAATTCTCTCTTTTTTTGGAAGGAAGGCAGGGGGACGGAATAACCTGCCTAATCTTAGAGGCTATAAGGAGATAACGATGCCAGTAGAAATACATGTTAGTAGAAGTACCTGGAGATATACAGTAGTATGTTCCACTGGGGTAGAAAAAACTGGCCGCTCACTCACTTGTGATGCGTCCTGTGTAAATGTGGGCTGTTCCTAGCTCCCTGCCTGAACTATTTCACCAGTTTGTTCTGAGAAAATAGTGAGGACAGACACAACCAGAAGAAGCTCCTTAGAAGATGAATGATACGGCAGTGATCAACTCCAGCATGCAAAGTCACCAGGGACCACAGCTGCTGAAAGATATTTGGCGTGGTTCTCTTCAGACCCTCTGGAAGAGATTTGAAAAACTGCCCAGGGGGTGTGAATAAAATAGGCCTTTTGTGTTTTCTTCCAAACATGTGTATTTTCTTCAAATGTTATCCAAGGTGAATTTACTGTGGTAACATATCAAAGTAAAACAAAAGCACACACACAAAATGTAACACAGCAATTTTTAAAAGCACATCAAATTATATTGTTGCAAGGATGCATAAACAAAGCGAGAGAACAAAAACCAAACAGAAAAGTACACCAAGAGTAAAACAAAACAAAGCAAGCCCATGCAAGTTAACCCTACAGGGCTTTCTGAAGTTCTTTGTAGACACTTCCCAGGCTTTAATCAGTTAGGATTATGGGGCAAGATGGGGAGGGTTACTAAGAAAAACACCCCCACCCACCCCCAAATCATCATCATCACCATGAGCAGCCAGGTTAATGTTGACTTGTGGCAACTCTGTTTTAATGTTTATCCTTCTCTTCTTCTGAGGGCGCCCTGGGACTGTGCGGTTCACCCAAGGCTACAAAGACTGGCTCTTCTCCCTGGAGGCCCCGGGGGGGGGGGGGAACCAAGCTCCCAACCTCCACTTCTTCAGCCAGATACCTAAACCAATGAACTGCCTAGCCATCAAACAAATAAACAACCAGAGGTTTACAAGCCCTACCAGACTTCAAAAGAAAGCCCGAAGACTGAGTCACAAGACCAGACAAATGTGCTGTGATCAATGCCAGACAGAAACCTGGTGTTGTTGGGAAGTTGAGGTTATAAAACTACAAGTAGTGCAGGGAAATCACCCCAGAGGGAGACCACGGCTGCAATACAAGGATATCTGCAAGTGGGATCTGAAGGCCTTAGGAATGGACCTCAACAGATTGGAAACCCTGACATCTGAGCGCTCAGCCTGGAGGCAGGCGGTGCATCACACCCTCTCCCAATTTGAAGAGACTCTTGCCCAGCAGGCCGAGGAAAAGAGGCAGTCAACGAAAGCAGCAAAATCAGGGAGCTAGACAGGGTACAGATTGTATTTGTCTTCAATGTGGAAGGGATGGTCACTCTCGAATTGGCCTTCTCAGCCATACTAGATGCTGTTGCAAGTCCTCCATACAGAGCACAATACCAGCGTCTCTCGAGACTGAAGGATGCCTAATCTAATCTAACTGTGGCCAGGAGATCATCCTGTCCGGGTAAGGGTGCCAGTGGCAGTAAAATGGCTTCGACATGTTCTAACTGGTGGTAGTTTGTAAAGCAGGCAATGAACAGCTTTTTTTGCTATGACAGAAGGATTACAAGTCAGAAGCAGAGGAATGGAATGCCCCCCTCATGCCCTAAGGCTTAAGTAAGCACACTCTTTCTCCCCTCCGCCCCCCCCATTTGAACTGGACTTCACCCAGCACAAGCATGGGGTGTGACAAGCATCTTTGGGCACAAAGAACTGCCTTGTTGTGTCCCATAGCTTCAGGAGCCAGTCCGGTTCCCTCCCCATCTTTCCCGGTAAGGAAGTGCTTCTAGGTAAACAAGTAGAACTGGGGAAGAGGTGAGCGGCTTGCTCCAGAAGACGAGGCAGGGCAGGATTCAAGGCAGGGCAAAGGCTGTAGGCCGGGCTGCAGATCATTGCCCTGGAGGAGAAGGCAGCCAAAGCTGCTTGGCTTGCAATCATCCTCACAGGAAGAGATGGGGAAAAAAACAAGTCAGCAGTATCATGGCTGGAAGGGCAGAGGAAGGAACAAAACCTTACAAGCATTGCACACACTCCGTCCTTTACGCGTGGGGAGAGAAACATTGGCATAGGGCTCTAGTAGTCTCCTCGTTGGGTACAAACTGCTTTCCTCCTTCCCCTCCACACCCCGGTAAGCCAGAGCCCACACATCCGTCCTTTACGCGTGGGGAGAGAAACATCGGCATAGAGCTCCAGTAGTCTCCTTGTTGGGTACAAACTGCTTTCCTCCTTCACACCCGGGTAAGCCAGAGCCCACACATTTGCCATCTTTCCCCAGGAAGAAAAACAACAGCAACACAGAAGCTGTTTAGCCCTAGACATCAAGTCACTGCCCAGACTGCCATTCTTAAGGAAAATGAGGGAAGGAAAGACCCCAATCTCTCTCCCATGAAGGGATGACAGTCAGTGAACTCATGAAAGCTGGCTCAAGGGACCACCTGGGCCTCAAGTAGCAAAGCTGCCTACCTGAGTGAATGGGAACACCTTGAAAGGCTTCACTCCCTGTTCCCATACATGGGAACAGCTCAGGAATTTAGGTCTCTGGCTGCAGAGCCGGAGGCTGGGGGTTCAATTCCCCCTTGGTGCCTTCTTGACGGGAACTGGGGCGGATGATCCATAGGGTCTTTCAAGGGACCACCTGGGCCTCAAGTAGCAAAGCTGCCTACCTGAGTGAATGGGAACACCTTGAAAGGCTTCACTCCCTGTTCCCATACATGGGAACAGCTCAGGAATTTAGGTCTCTGGCTGCAGAGCCGGAGGCTGGGGGTTCAATTCCCCCTTGGTGCCTTCTTGACGGGAACTGGGGCGGATGATCCATAGGGTCTTTCCCAGCTCTGCCCCACAGTGCCTTCTTGACAGGAACTGGGGTGGATGATCCATAGGGTCTCTCCCAGCTCTGCAGTTCTAAGATGATGGTGGTGGTTAGAAACTCTTACCCACAGCACCTCCGTTCAGCTTGGCATTCAACTTATTTGCCCAGGCACCGGTTCAATACATGTAGGGAACCTCTGGAAACACAGCTGAGTATCATCTGAACGCTGAGGCCGGACAAGGCAGAAAAGGTTAACCCTACATTTAATGCGGGAGGTGGGGTGGGAGGAAGAGAACCCCACAGAACCCAGTCTCTCTGGGGTCACACATGGTTTTTAGGTTTTCAAACTTGGGAGGGCTGAATTTTTCTGGCCCTTCTTGCCTTCTGAAGAGGGACTGGGGGGGTAAAGCTTAAAACCATCACACCGCTACCTAGATCCCCGGGAAGCCACTACTAGGGGTGGGAAGGCTACACGGGGGCCCTATCCTGCTGCCCCACTGCCCAACCCCCCCCCATTTCCCTCTTAACCCACCACCACCACCACCACCACCACCAGGAAGCCTTGATGGGTCCGAAGGAAGAGACTGCAATCTGCAAAAGAGCCCTGACATAAACTGGTCTGTTCCACAAAACGTAGGCTTTCGCTCTCGTTCTACGCAGGGCGCCTTATTTTCAAGGCAAATCGCGCTTCCTGGTGTCTCAACCTGCTTAAAACAAGGCGCGCCACCCCCGAAGAGGAGACCCGAAGGACCCGAAAGCTTACATATTTTCCCTCGCCCTTTTTTTGCTTGGCCTAATCCTTCCCTAGAAGAGCCCCGTGACGTCACTTCCGCCCAAAGACTCCCTCCTCCTCCACCGCCGCCATTTCCCAGAGACGAGCGAGGCGCCAACATGGAACCGCGAGGGCGCATGCGCCTCCCCCAGCCACCCTCCTGAAGCGAGCGTTGGACCACGTGACCCAAAAGCTCCTCCTCATTCTTCATCTTCCTCTTTCCCTCGCTCTTTCTTTCTTTCTCTCGCTCTCTCTCTCACACACACAAACACATACACACGTCTCCTAGCAACCACCCGCCCAAGCCCCGCCCCCCCGGTTTCAATTCTTCGGCGGCGGCGACTTAGGGAGCGGCCCGGAGGCGTTCTCCTGACGTCGTCACGCACGCGAGGAGACGCGGGGCTCGCCATTGGAGGGCCCGTCCGCGGCGCGCGCTGATTGGTCCTCGGACGGGAGCCGGGTGGAGGGCTCCTCCTCCTCCTCCTCCTCCCTTTCCTCTTGGCTGCCGCCGCCGCCGCCGTGAAGATGGCGGACGGCCCCGGCCCCGCCGCGGGGGTCGTAGGGCGCATGCGTGAGTGGGGCAGGGATGCGTGTGGGGGGGAAAGAAAGAGGACTGATTTTGAGGGGGGGGGACCCTTGACCGGCTTAACCGTCCGGCTGCCCTGCTTC